CATATAAATACAACTTTTACAAAAAGAAAAGAACGATGAATCACACGCTATATCTTTAGAAAAAATATGTAGGAAATATCACAAGAAACTGTGATTGCTGAAATGACGTATATAGAAAAAAGTAAAATAATAATTGTATGAAGAAAGTTTTATTAAATAACATATCCATTTCATTCTAAAATTGAATTTAATAATGTATTTCTTCTTTCTTTTTCTTTCAAATTAATAATTAGATTATTAATTAGATTATTATTTGTGTGTGTAAAGTATAAAGCTAGATCTAATTATTTTTTAAATTGTGGAAAATCTTGTATTATATTGCATTAATTAGTAGCATTTCCTCAGAATTAAAATTGGATCAAAATTTATGGGAAAAAAGTTACCGAAAAAATTTTTTAAAAACATAAAAATTTAATAGTATCTTTATATAAAATTTGATTATGTGCCAAAATATTTAAACATAAAACTTTAAAAACTTCGTATATAACATCCTTCAACGAACGATAGTTCTAATTTTTCTCATATTTATTTAGTTTGCTCAAAAATAAGGCAAGAAGTACATATAAAAAGCATTTAATAAAGTTCTTGAATTTTCCGCACAATTAAATATTTTTTTGTCGTGTCACACAAAAGAGTGTGCATTTAAGATAAAAATTGTTTATCATGCATAACCCATACATATAATTTTCTAGTAATTTAGATATCGAGTATTTTATACATATTTATTATTCTGCATTATGCTTACGTAAGATAATGATATACTTGATATGATATAGTGTTGAGCAAAAGTTTCCATAAGAAATAAAAAATAATAAATAAAATAGATTATTCAATATATTCGAATTAAGCGAACGACGAATAATTTATTCGTTATTTGTTATTTTTATTCAAAAATAATAATGAAAAAGTAATCGAGAGAAAATTGGAAAATACGTTCGATCAGATTATAATCGATTATAGTCACTTTCACTTAAATTAATCTACACAACGTTACATCAATAATTCTGGATAATATTTTAGCAATATTCTGTGCTAATTTCCGAGCAGTTCAATGTCTTTCCATTAAATATCTTATCGAAGCTCGGATATAGGAGTTACCTACAATGTATTCAGATACTACTGTAAAATTTATTAGTGGTTTTGTATCGGAAGCTATTCTCTCAGTATTATTTCGCCTTTATCTTTAAATTGCTTAAATTATTACCATGTTTCCGACATCCGGGCAAAGGTGATCGCTTACAATTGCAGATGGTAATAATAGCAATGGCATGGAAAACAATCGCCACCAAACGTTAAATTAGCTGTTAAATAATAATTAATTACAGGTACTTAACTGCAATGATGACAAAAATAGGTGCAACGCAACGTGTATAAAAAATTAGATAGAAATTTCTAAAAATAAATAAAATTGATTAAAAAACTAAAAGAAATTATTAAAATTTAATATTTCACTTTATATAAAATTTGATTATGTGTGAGTATATATTTTAATATCAAACTTTTAAGAAAAGAACACTTCATAATATGTTTCAATGAGAAATAATTGAAATATTTATATATTAATTTGCTTAATAAGGTATATATGTATTATTAAAACAATATATAGAGTAAATCGAAGTTTGTTGACATAGTTTTCACAATTTTGGCATTAAACTTTTTTAAATTAAACATTAAAGTATTTAACTATTATAATTATATATAATATATAAAATGTACACTAATATGATAAAAAAACTTTTCTCTATATTTTCATGCCAGTAACAATTTTAACTATATTGTATAGTTGTTTTGCAGTAAATAAAATACTAACAGAGGTTACATTATAGTCAGCTTGCCCTGATAGTGGTGTAAATTGATATCACAATAACGTAAGTTGCCTATACAATAAATTCTATATTAAACTAATGAAAATGTGATAGACATAAAAAAACAGACTGCATATATGTATTCTTGGTAAAGATTATATCTTTTAAAGTTTTGTAATGATATTTTGTAATAATCAAATAGCAAAATATTATTACAAAAAGAAAATTTAAATTATTTTAGTTGTAGCTTTAATATAAAAATATTAAACATAAAGCGTTTCGTCCAATTAAGTTGTAACTCAATGTTCACACGCGTGGTATATGTGATATAATAGTAAGTCAAACTAAACTTTCCTTAAAAATTGTTCTTAAAACGAGCCAATGTACCACCACATACGTAAAATTTTATTTTACTAACAGGGATAGGAAATAGTAAATAACGCGCCGTTTATCGTTACTTTTTATAATAATGATTTGGTAATGCCATGCAATTTTTTATGACGGTAATGATATTTTTAACTGAAAGCTAAGATTAAAGAAAAGTCATTTTTGAAAAGTAACTAGTCCACTATGCGTTGTCTATTGAATAAAAGTAATTCATTATTTATATAACGAGTTAAAATAACGAGTCAACGCGTTACAAATAATGAGTTACTTTTTTTAATAAGTAACGCTGTAAGTAATGTTGACAAGTTGCATTTCAAAACGATTTTCTCAATCTTAGCTTTTAGTTAGTTATCGTAAACGTTACAATAAATTGCAACGTCATTAATAAATCACTATAGACAGTAACAGTAAAAGAAACAGTTCCATGAATAACAAATTACTGTTATTACTCAAAATAATATATCGTATAGTAATATGCCATTCTTTTAACTAAAGTATTATAACTAAAGTATTATAACTTTTCTTTTGACTAACAATACGACACTAATGTTAAATTAATTTTCTCAAGTTGAACGATATTAATACGAAATTATATATGCTTAAAAATCTATTTATTTTCACTTGAATCAAATATTTCTTTTTTATTGTAATATTTGTTTGATCTAAACGAAACTTAAAGAAAAAGTACTTTTTTATGTTATAAAGATTTTATGTTTTATAACTTTTCCATTGTTTCTCTCTTTATAAATGTATAAACCGAATGCAATGCCTCTTGTGCCAATGAGCTTCATCTCCCCTATTTCTTGAATTTTTTTGAATGAAACGGATTATTTTTCACATATGCACAAACAAAAGAGAGATAAACATTACTTATCATGCGATAACTTGTGTATATAATTCTCTAGTAATTTAGATTTCAAAAATGTTATGTATATATAATTTATATTATATTCAAACCCAAAATAATAATATATAATTAATATGATAGCAATATATATATATATAAATATATATA